GACATCATGCACGGGATCTTCGGCATGACAGACGAGGGGCTGATGGAGTGCATGTACCAGGTGTTCGACATGGACCAGGACGGCGTGGTCGGGCCCGAGGAGTTCGTGGTGGGCATGTCCGCCTTCCTCCGGGGCACGCTCGACGAGAAGATCGACTGTGAGGCCCCCTAGCTTTCTTAAGATGTTCCTTTTCTTTTTTTCTTCTTCTTCTTTTTCTTCTTCTTTTGAGGGTTCGTCATTTCCTGTCTTTCATCTGCGAGGCTTTTCCTTCGGTTAACACTCGACGTGAAGATTGGAGACCCTCTGGCTTTCTTAGGATGTTTCTTTTCTTTTTTTCTTCTTCTTCTTCTTCTTTTGAGGGGTCGTTGTTTCCTGTCTTTCATCTGCGAGGCTTTTCCTTCGGTTAACACTCGGTGAGAAGATCGACTGTGAGACCCTCTCGCTTTCTTAGGAGTTTTGTGTTTTGTGTCTGTTTGACTGTCTTCGCCTGTCTTTCTGTCTCTGTGTATCTTCCTCTTTAAGGTTTTCTCCGTCTGTGTATCTGTCCGTTTGCCTGTCTTCGTCTCTCTGGTTATTTCTTCTTTTTTCTGCCTGTGTCTGTCTCTCTCACCTCTTATCTACGACTGTCTTTCTCTCCACGCTGTCTGTCTATATCTGCATCTTTGTCCGGTTAAGAACTCAACTCAAAAGAACCAGAAGAGTTGTGGGAATTCGCTCCTTCTCTCCCTTTGGGTTTGGCTCAAGGGTCGGGGTTTGTGCTTGTCTGTTCGATTGTCTGTAAATGTCCGTCTATCTGTCGGCAACATCGGGTGTATCTCTATAATAATATTTGTTGTGTCCCTAGTTGTCTCTGTCTATCTATTAACGTCTATCAGTTATTTGCGTTTGTTTTATTATCCCTTTATTTTTATTCTTTTTTTTTCGTCTGGCTAGCTGTTTCTTTGTCTGTCTCTCATTTTTTCCCCTTTAATGTTCCTAGCTTCGGAAGTGGGCTTCCTTCCAATGAGCGACAAGGAGATCGACAGTGAGACCTCTCCGTGCGACCTCTCCCACTTTGCCTGTCTGTTTGGCTGTCTGTTTGGCTGTCTGTCAAGCCGCAAAGACGCTGAGATTCAGTTCTGGTACCGAGCCGTCTCCTGACACTCGGCCTAACGTATTGGCGAAATTAGAGTTCCATTCCTACGGGCTTGCCAAGTCCAGGTTGGCTTCAAAACGGGATCAGTAGCAAGGAACGCCAGAGTGTGTGCCGCCTTTTCTCTTCATGTCCTTGGTGGTTTGGGTCTGTCAGGTCTTCAAGAAAGGAAGCATTAAAAATCTCATGGACATGGGTCAAAACACGGCGAAATATGAAGGACCTCTTCTTTACAATAACTCAGGATTTTTTACAATAATTTATGATTTCATAACTTACTGTATGACAGTAAAGTCGTTGTTAATGATAGCAATAACAACAACAGCAATTATAGTAGTAATAATGATGATAGATGATAAAGATAATACTATTAGTACTGCTACTACTAATAGCAGTAAGAGTAATAATAGCAATAATAATAATAATGATAATAATAAGAATGATAATGATAAAATGATAGTAATAACAATAATGATAATTATAGTAATAACAATAATGATAATGATAATATCAGTAATAATAATGATAATGATAATAGTAATAATAATAGTAATAATAATAATAATAATAATAATAATGTTAATAATAATGTTAATAATAACAATAATAAGAATGATGATGATAATAATAATACTATAATAATGATGATAATAAAAAATATATATATAATAGTAGTAATAATAATAATAATAATAATAATAATAATAATAGTAATAGTAATAATAATAATAATAATAATAATAATAATAATAATAATAATAATAATAAAAATAATAATAATAGCAATAATAATAATAACACAACCTTTCAATGTCAACGCCGCTCGAAGGGAGATCCTCCTATGAAGGGAAAATCTCCAGCTGATCCCAGGGACCACCGGCCACGTCTGTCTGTGGTTATCTTAACTTCTCCGTATCTCACTTTCTCTGGCTTGTGTCTTCTGTCTATTTATTGTTTATCTTTTACTCTGACTTTCCTTTATTCGGTTCCTTTCTTTCGTCGGCTTTGCGTGATCTTGTGTCTCGATATCTGGCACTGTTCGTCCTCTGATATTTGACCCAAGTCCGGGAGCACTGCTATTTCGACCTGGCTTGGGAGTGAGGGCTGGGACTCAGGGAAACTAGACACAATAGAGGGATTTCTAACCTGGTGTTAGTTTTAGTGATGGTGTTTAGTCTGTGTTTCTTTTCCCTGGATGTTGTTTTTTCGTGGGTAGTGAGGGTGTTTAGTCTGTGATTCTTTTTCCTAGATGTTATTTTTTTCGTGGGTAGTGAGGGTGTTTAGTCTGTGATTCTTTTTGAACGTTTGTACAGTTGAATAGAATTGTATAGTTGTCACAGGAATGAGTGTTTACTCAGATAAGTATAATTATGCAGTTATAACGCCTATACGAACGCTTATGCAGTCAGGTATGAATGCAGTTATAACACGAAGGGACGTTTACGCAGATTAAGTATAACTATGCAGTTATAACGCCTGTAGGAACGTTATGCAGATAATCATAACCCTACTGTTATAACTCGTACGGACGTTTCGAAGCCAGCCGAGGTGCACAAAGAGTGAGTTATCGAAGTCGGACGCTTAGCGGCCAGAGGTGGCTGGCTGGTGGAGCCAAAGTCTATATAAGTACTTATATAGACCTCGGGTGGAGCCTGGCCTTTAAATCTGCCCGTTTGTGTACATTTTACCTGTTAATTTGCCTTTTCTAGCGGTCAGTTTGTTTGTTTCCCTTTTCTCTTTCTTTCTTTGTCTTCCTGTGTTTTGTCTATCCATCTGCTTAGATATGTCTTAATGCTCATTTGATGATACGTGACTGATATCAAACAAATTATGTCAATTTCTTCTGTCTGTTTATGATTTTTAGCTTTAAGGAAATTCGCTCATTACTTAAACTCCTGAGTACATGAAAATATAGACTACATAAATAGATACAATGTTTACGCATATACACAAAAAAGGATTATGAACACCTCCAAAATCACACGTCCTTTCATTCATATATTTTCCCCCTTCTCTCTCCTCCTCCCCCTATCCCTTCCCATCTCTCTTCTCCTTCCCCTCCCATTCCTCTCCCCCTCCCCCTACCCATACCCTTCCCCACCCCTTCCCCATTCAATTATATTTTTATTCACCCGCCTCTCCCGCCCTCGCCCGCTTCCCCTCTCCCCTCCCCCTTCCTCCCTTCCTCTCCCCCTAACCGTTACCCCCTTCTCCCTCCCCCCTCCCCTTTTCCCCCTTCCCCTTCCCTTCCCTTCCCCTCCCCCTAACCCTTTTCCCCCTTTCCCCCTTCCCCCTCCCTTCCCCTCCCTCTAACCGTTACCCCCTTCTCCCTCCCCCTCCCCCTAACCCTTCTCCTTCCCTTCCCCTTCCTCCCTAACCCTTCCCCTTCCCTTCCCCTCCCCCCTCCCCCCACCCAGACTGCTTCAGCGTGTACGACCACAACAGCGACGGCTTCGTTTCCCGCGACGAGATGTTCCACCTCCTCAAGTCCGCCGTCGTGAACCTCCCGCCCGGAGAGGAGCTGGAGGAGGTCGTCAAGGACATGGTCGGTGAGTGCGGGCGCGCGTGCGGGCGGGAAGGGGGGAGGGTGAAGGGGAAGGGGGGGTTGGGTGTGGGCGTGCATGTGGGTGGGAAGGGGGAGTGGAGGGGAATGGGGGGACGTGAGTGCGGGCGCGCGTGTGGGCGGGAAGGGGGTAGGGTGGAGGGGAAAGGGGGGAGGGTTGGGTGCGGGCGCGCTGTGCGGGCGGGAAGGGGCAGTGGAGGGGAAGGGGGGATGAGTGAAGGGGAAGGGGGGGGGTGAGTGAAGGGGGAGTGAAAGGGAAGAGGGGGGGGTGGATGTAGGCTTGCATGTGGGTGGGAAGGAAGGTGAGTGCGGGCGGGGAAAAGGGGTGGGGGAGGAAGTTGAATGTGGCCTCACGAGTGGGCGGGAATGTGAGAAGGGGCGCTGTGGGCGTACGAGCTGGCGGAAGATGGAATTTGAAGCGTGAAAATAGCCGAACGAGTGAACAGAAGGATAGATAGGAAAATTTGGGCGTGCAGTTGACGATAAAACCTATACGCTCTAATCTATTTATTAATTTACCTATTTATTCATTTATTACCATTATTGTCATCATATATTTATTTTTTTGAGATGTTACTGTTTTTAATTAATGTCGGTTCAGTTGTAAATTGTGTTGTTCTTGCGAAATTGTTATCACGAAGTTTTTGGTGTATAAGATGTGATTCTTTCCTCATCTACTAATTCTACTTATGTTATGATTGTTGTTATCAGTGTTTCTATGATGGTAGTAGTGATGATGATAATAATAATAATGATGATAGTAATGGAAATGGTAATATTGATAATGATAATAGAGATAATGATAATCTACACCACATCTATTATCAAGGTTATCATTATTAGCATTATTTGTATCATTATCATTATTATTACTATTATTATTATTATTGTTATTATTATTATTATCAATGTCACCATCTTCATTACCATAATCATCAGCACAATCGCCCCTGGCATTGGCACCCAAATCGGCATGGCAGACACCCCTTGTGTGCTGTGTGGTGCAGCGGTAGTGATCTCGTCTAGCAATCTTCCTGGACTGAATCGAAACCCTCGCCGCCAGTGGATGGTAACCCCGGCCATTCCTTGCACACAGGGGATGATTTAGAAGCAAAAATAAAACAGGCACTATGCCACACCAAGAATATCCATTGTAACAAATGGAATCAAATTAAACCCTGCGTCCCTTTCCCCCAGACATGGTGATGCGGCGGCTGGACGCGGACCACGACGGCCGAGTGAGCTTCGAGGACTACGCGGCGGCCGTCACTGCTGAGCCTCTGCTGCTCGAGGTGTTCGGGCCCG